AGGACGATCATGACTTCCGCCTTCCGGGAAGATACCGATACAACCACCTGCGACCAGCTCGGAATACACGGAAGCGAACATCTTGCTCTGATCAATGTGGGGGGCAGCCTTGAATGGGGTACCCTTGCGCAATGGCTCGTAGAGAGGATGGTCCTTCTCGAATTTCTTGAATGGTTTCCGCAGACGAATTTCCTCGGGTCCTAAGATCTCCTCAATCGCCTGTTGTTCCGGACTCGTTTTGCCCACACGCGGGAGAATGATGGCGCCGCCCACCATGAACTGATCGGAAGTGAAATCGGTTCCCCTGCCACGGACCAGGGTCGGATCGTTGTCAGGATCGGGGAGGTAAATTTCACCCTTGGCGGGTTTCACATGGTCCATCGATCGCACGACGGGGAGGGCGCCCATGCACCCAGCCATGGTGCCGATGTACGGCTCGCGCATGGACTTCTCTGCGATCAAAAACGAGGTTCTGCGACCGGCATAGTGTTTCAAGATGCGCATCAACAGAATGGAATCTACAAACTGATTTGCATGAGGGGCAGCGACGATGATGACAGGGCCGCGTTTGGGAATCCGCCATGCGCCGCGCGAGTAGACCTCGCGGAAGAAGATGTCCAGACAGAGAGTGAAAATCCACACTCCGAGGTCGTACAACCACGGGATCATAAATCTGCGCGCCATGACTTGCGTCTGTAATTTGACACTAATGCTAGATAGTGGTGCACAACAGGGAATCAAGAGCAGTATAGAAGAAGAAAATCGAAAGGGGAGAGAAAGGATTAGATGAGATGATATGTGTTGATCTCAACTCATGACCGCGGGGGATTTAATTGCCAGTGACGTTGAGGCAACAGGCGGAGTTTCTTGGGGCGGACAGCAAAAACAACGGCAGCAGCAAAGCGTGGTAAAAGGGAACAAAAAAAGCCGGGGAAGAGGCAGAGCAATAAGAACCGTGTCTGTCTTTTCGCAGGGGTTCTCCGCCTGAGGGAGGTTGGTTTCCCTTAATCCGTGGCTCAAATGAGGAGGTGTTACCGCAGCTTGCCAGATAAAATGTCGCAATGATCCAGCTTCACCGGCAAAGAAGCTTCGCGAAAAAAAAGAAAATGTTTCAAAAGGAAAACCAGTGAGCGAAGAATGATGATGTTCGGTGTTCCACCCAGACTAGACTAAGACTAGGCCTATGCCGGAGAAACCAAAACGGGTCTGAGCTAATCTATTTGGGAGAGTTACTCCGGTGCAGTATCGCCGGGGTAGGAGAGGTGAATTGCCAATTGTTGGGATCTCAACAGAACAGTTGGGAATCAATTGATAGGGTGCAGCTGGTTTGATAGGTAACTGACAAGTAGACCAGGATGATGTGCGAGAGTTCTAGAGCTTTGGCAAGAGAAAGTGCCAATCATAGCATCGGGCTTGCTGGTCGATGAATCATGGGATGCGCGCGGGGTTCTCGGATGGGCGCGTGGTGGTCACGTGCTACTTCGCCGTTGCGGGTAACCGGACTTGGACTAGCGTGTCGTTGGCCCATGTGGTTACGGTATGGTACTCTGTTGCGGTAAGTTACCCCGCAGAGTTGGTGGTCTGGATGGTATCAGTTGGAGTTGAGTTGGGAGCTCATCATTTCACCGATAAGGCCTTCAGTATGGGATAGATTTCGATTCTCACCCGTCACTGCTTCATGGTGACACAAGAATTGCTTGTAGAGGGACGGGGGAAGGTACTGATCTCACACTGACTATACTGGATGCCATGAACAGCTTCAGTCTCGTCGCATGGCTAGTGGATTGCCCACGGCAAACAGCTCCAGATCCGATCGGAACCTGGGGAATGGCTGGACATCGGTCGCCATGACCAAACACAGGGACTCCATTTGTCAGGAGTCGGACTGAATCTTCCATCAAGTGGTAGAGAAGCGGGTGGTGGGGACTCTCAAGTGGGGAAGAATGGGGTGTTACTTGGCGGACTTGAAATGAAAGGCAGACGATAATGTTGTCAACAAGGCGAAGTAGAAGTCCAAAGCATATCAAAATGAGAAGGATGGAAGCATGAGAGATGAAAGAGTAAGAGACGCATCCCCGCATAGAGGGCCGGATTCTCCGCAATTTTCCCACTCTGATTGGAGTGGGGGATGCAAGGCGTGCGAGTCAGCCGCGAAGGACAACAAACAGGTCGATCTCACGTAGTGATATGATAGCCTTTCCCACTTGCTCAATTTCAAGATGAGCCAGTATAAAAAGACACAGTGGATTAGGTTAGACAGACATCCATCGTTAGGACCATAGACAGACCGACAGCATGTCGCCCACCAAGGAGGACATCCACTTCGACGACGATGTGCCTATTTTGATCGTTGGGGCCGGCCCATGTGGCTTACTCCTTGCGTATTTGCTTGCCCAACTTGGAGGTATGGGACCGCCCCTCCACGATATAGGAAACTGGTCATGAGAGAAGAGAGTCACGTTCTGGATAGATTCGCTGAATGTCTTCTACTTGTCTTTTAGTCCGATCTCTGCTATGTGAACGTTACCCCACCAGATTGCAGGCGCCAAAAGCACATGCACTATCGCCCAGGACACTTGAACTATGTCGGCAATACGGCCTGGATGTGAACGAGATTCGCAGCATTGGTACCAAACGCGGAGAGGCGTTCTGGGTCAATTTCATTACTAGTTTGAGTGGCCGGCAAGTCGGAAGGCTTCCCTATGAGCGCATGGATCCGGAAGTTTTGGAAAGCACACCCACGGTATGACAACTATATGAAGACCTCAAAACCGATACATGCTCATGTTAGAGATAGATGATTCATAACATCCCACAACCAGAATTTGAGGAGCTGGTGGCTAAGCGGTTATCCAAGAACAATCTGGTGGAGATACGCAAGAATCATTCCTTCGTTAGACTGACTGATGTAAGTTTCACGGTGGGTCGCGATAACAATTCAGAGCTGTTACTGATAACTTAATAAAGCGCGGCGATTATGTCTTAGCCACCATCGAAGATCGTGCAACACAACAAGAGTATACTGTGAAATGCTGCCATCTTGTGGCTTGCGATGGGGCAAAGAGTGCGGTCCGGAGATGTCTGGGAATAGAGAGCGAGGGCGAGGACTCTTGTATGTGGTACAGCTGACCCAATTAATACTTTGAGGCTGACCACTACTTAGATGAGACCATGATGACTATCCACATCAATGCTGACCTGCACCCTGTGGTCAAAGAGCGAGTCGGCATGTTACACTGGGTGATGGACCCAGAAGTATCCGGTTTCATTATTGGGTACGACCTGGGAGGGAACCAAGTCTTGATCTGTAATTTCGATGTAAGTCTCCTTGATTGCTTGTTCAATTCAAGAAACAGCCACAAACTAACTCCGTGTAGGCTGAAAAGCACCCAGTCAACTCATGGGACGAAGCGCTTTGTCGCAAAGTTGTTGACGCAGCTATTGGTGCAAAGATCCCATACGACGTATTGAGTTACCGACCATGGATATTGAGTAGGAAAGTCGCACTTGCCTACCGAGCAAACCGTGTATTGCTGTCAGTAGTATCGCATCTCTGTCTCCACTAGTACGTGCTAACACAGTCGCACAGAGCCGGAGATGCTGCTCATTCTTTCCCACCTACTGGGGGATTGGGACTGAACAGCGGTCTAGGGGATGTCCATAACCTCGCATACAAGCTTGCAGCAGTGCATCATGGATGGGGTGGCGACAAGCTTCTGGACAGCTATGAAGCTGATCGGCGGCCAGTTGCCTGTGATAACGCTGAGCAGAGCGTCAAGAACGGCAAGCAGATATTTGGTCTCTTGAAAGCGCTCGGCACTACCGATCCTGATGTTCAAGTTGCAAGACAGAACCTATATCGCAACATTGAAGACGCACAAATTATGAAGGAGATCAACAAAGGCATTGAAGGCCAGCGGGAGCACTTTGACAACCTTGGTCTTCATGTGGGCTATGTCTACGGTAACCACAAGCGCCCAGACTGTGCCTCAACATATGAACCCGTTTGCATTCCTGGAGCCCGCTTACCGCACGCGTGGATCGAGTTATTGACCCCAGACCAGATACGGCTCCCCCCCATTGATTGTTCCTATGTATCTAAGTTTCTTTCCGAGGAGCTAAAACTGAAACAGTTCTCCACGCTAGATTTGTGTGCATTTGACGCCTTCACACTCATTGTGGACATAAGATCAGCCGATCATTGGGGAAAGATCCTCGACGAAGTGAAACGGCAACTCCCCGGCAAGTGTAGTGGGCTAAAACTTCAGATGATGACTAGGGGGGCGAACTTTGACCTTCAGCCCGGGGGTGGCGAAAAGTGGATGGCGCTGACGAGATTAGCGGAGGGCCAGGCAATTCTAGTCCGCCCCGACCAGCACGTCTTAGCGCGCTTTGAATATCCGGGGGAATCTAGTGGGGTATTGGGGGAATTGAGGGCGCATCTGGCGTGGGATGAGGGTATAGGTGGTTCGGGCTAGATGGACCAACGGACAGACGGAGTTATGCAGTCCCGTCGGGATATCCGGGAGGGTGGGCTGATGTACGTCCGAGTGTGAGGGACAATGTGGTTTTAGATAGTAGATAGAATAGTATCACTCTGCAGAGACGTCTAGTATATCCGACGGGTATAAAATCGATAACCGTTCGCATTGATCGCCCATATAGTAGATGTGAGTGAAGAAGAAGACCGGCAATGGCGAGGCAAAGTGTGGAGGAAAGCAGTGTCGGATAAGAAAACAGCCGCTCTCCACCACCCACGGTGGGGATTCGTGTGGAGAGAGCGTGGGGAGTGACGCCACGGGGAAAAGAATCCCAAGAAGTACGGAAAGCATATGCCGATCGCAGTCTCACTACACGTTCAGCTATAATAACTACGCGTCGCTGCCTGCTTCCGATTACCCCTCCCCCTCATTGTCTCTCTTTTTTCTCAATCTCCCCGTTCTCTCCTCTCCCTGCAACACTGGCTCATCTTCCTTCTGCCTTGTTGCAATCCGCCCATCATGTCCCACTCCGCCGCTGAATTGCAAAAGCCTACGGGCGAGTACCGTCAATACTTGCCCGACCTGAGTCTGAAGCGCTTCCAGGTGATGCGCAATCAGGATGCTCACGAATACGCTCATGATTTCAAGACGCTGAAGAACCCTCCGTGGCTGCATGCGCTGTATATGCACTGGGTTGATCTGCTGCAGGAACCCTTCAAGGGTGTAACCACCGATGGTAGGTTCTTTTTCTCCGATACATTCACCCCGCACCGCCGGTTTGAAGGGCCAATGCTAATCAATTGCCAAAGGAAATGTTCGCCCCGGCTTGTTCACGCTCCAGGATGAAGATGTGCCCGTTGGCGACATTGTTGAATCCGTCCAGAACGTCCTGTCCCTTGCCGACGACAAGCAGCGCCAGGCGCTGTCCTACCACATCGACTCCCCCGAATGGCGGACCTGGTCAAACCCCGAATTCCTTCTTGCCCACAAGGGTCTGCGTCTCGATGAGATTGACAACAAGCTGCGCGATGCCATCATGAACGTCCTGAAGACCACCCTGTCGCCCGAGGGCTACGATAAGGCCGTCAAGGCCATGCGCATCAACCACTTCCTCGGCGAGCTGGTGGAATCTCCCAAGGTGATGAACGAGTTCTCCTACAACTTCGTCCTTTTCGGTCGTCCCTCGACCACTCGGCCATGGGGCTGGTCCTTCTATGGCCACCACCTTTGCCTCAACATCTTCCTGTACAAGAACCAGATCGTCGCCTCCCCGTGGTTCACTGGCGCCGAGCCCAACGAGATTGACGATGGCCCGTACTCGGGTACTCGCATCATGCAGATCGAAGAAGAGCTCGGCCTCCGACTGATGCAATCCCTCACCCCTGACCTTCAGCAGAAGGCCCGCGTATTCGAACAGATGCACGACCCCGCCATGCCCCCAGGCCGCTGGAACCGCGATGACCAGCGCCACCTGTGCGGAGCCTACCGGGACAACCGCGTCGTCCCTAACGAGGGTATCACCGTCGAGGGATTCACCGAGGAGCAGAAGAAATTCATGTACGGTATTTTCGAACAATACCTGCTGTACCTCCCCGCCCGGGCCCGTCAGATGAAGCTGGACCAGATCCGCCAATATGAATCGGAGACGTACTTCTGCTGGATCGGTGGATACGGCGATAGCGACCCCTTCTATTACCGTCTGCAGAGCCCCGTGGTTCTGGTCGAGTTCGACCACCACTCCGGTGTCTTCCTCAACAACGAGGAGCCCAAGAAGTTCCACATTCACACCTTGTTGCGTACGCCGAATGCCGGAGATTACGGCCAGGCTTTGCGGGCTCAGATCCCCGCTGTGGAGGGACTTAATGGGAAGGAGATCGTGTGGGAGAAGTCCGCTCTGTGATTGCCGGACACGTGTCAATATATGATGATGTTATGTGAATAGAGTGTTATATAGCGTACATACATATGGAATCCATGATATCCTCCAGGATGGCTATGAGGCTGTCACCATCCTGACAAACCACTTTTCGATCTGTGAAATCTAGATATTGTCCCTTAGGCATAAAGCTTCTCCGATGAAGTAAACTCGGACCAATGGATTAATGGATCCATTCATCGGCATAGTTATCAAGAGTACAATAGCCGATGTAGGGGCTCAGAAAGGGACCGGATCAACGGAGGAGGGAAGATGGGTCAGGAAATAGTCTTTCTTCTTATAGGGACAGACTTATCCCGCACGGTCCTCATTCGCCCTATTTGTTTCGTAGCTCTTTACTTCTTATAAGACAGGGCATGAGGTAATGGCCTCTATCTAGGATATCTGCTGTTGTCCATACACGGATTGCGATCATGCAGAGAAGTCCTACAGATATGTCGCCATGAACTTTCTGTGAATCTATTCGAATCGTTGAGTGAGTAACCTTCGTGGATTCGGAGAAGACTGTGCTAGTCAGTAAGTAGTTGACTATGTATAATGGGGATGTGTATAGTATCAACTATTATTAGCGTGGTGGCTATATTTTGTCTTGTGGGTCCTTGGCAAATCCGATAGTATGGATTATGACATTTCACTTCCATCTCAATTTCATGCCAGTTCAGGGCTAGTATAACGAACTTGTCATAGTATGGGCACCACTATATGAGCGGGCATATTTGTTGTTTTTGGTAGTAGATTAATCCAGTTGCTGAGGAGGTTACGTGGTGGTTTTCGAGCTATTTGGTGTCTCTTGCTAGGCATAGCCCCAGTCTATTGCGACTCTACTGCAGAGTATATTCTTCTTGTCTCAGGTGCCGTACTGATCATATACCGAGTTCAGCTTGCTTGATTACATCCGATTCCACCAGACTTTTGTCCCGGAGATGACATCTCCCGGATCTAAGGATATAACCAATAATACCCTGCATTATAATGCACAAGTTGCAAGGATGTCCAGTAACGTGACCAACAACAACTCCCGAAAGCGACATCTTGCTTTATCATGCCCGCTAAACCGTAAATCCTTCTCAAACTGGACCCTCCCAGCGCAATGCAGACAAGCGAGCAAGCAAGCAGGCAGACAGGCAGGCAAGGCTCTCTCGGCTCCGAATTGGGCCATCCACCCTACTGATCCTGCTGCTTCAGTGGCCTGTCACTCGTTTCCATGTCTGGCTGCCTCGCCAATCCTGCACCAGTCGGGCAATTCTACTTAGACTTCAGAAACCGATTTGTTTTCCTGGAAGAGTGCTCCACTGACTACCCCTCTCAGTTTTGGCCTCCCAAAAGCGGTACACATAAACAACTAGCTTCACCCCAGCATCCACAGCTCGATGTACCCTGTACGCAAGTATCTCGACATAGGTTGGGACCATCATGATGTCGCTGCCGTTCGGGATACCCAAACTCAATCGGCGGTGGCACACTCGGCGACGCCGATGACCTCAAAGACTTCCCAATCATCAGCTGGACTACGACAGGGATGAGGTGGCTGAGTGTTGAGCGGACGCGTGTATCCTGCACTGTCTGACCGATCCACTTCGTTTATACGTATACGAGGGAGCTTTCATTGTTCCTGTGAGAATTCAAGCCCCGCAGCTTGCGAGTGGGCGAGACAAGGCAATCGAGCTACAAACAGGATTGCTATGCCCAGCTGAAGTCCCACTCCCCATCGGGATGAACACACACCATTGAAACTTATGCATCAGGCCATGTCTTCGGCAGTGATTGTCATTCTTCGTGCGCAGTATTCATTTCGAAGTGATTAAGCTGCACAATGATCGGGCGCGGCTTGTTCCTTGCCAACTTCTATGGCGATAAATGAAGGCTTTCGCATAGTATCATCCTGTCAACCTCGTGGACCGGATTGTTTACCCGTCGGCCGGATTTGAATACCGATTCGATGACATGACACGTCGACATCTATCCCCAAATGGTCTTCCGCGGATCAGTTTGCGAATATAGTATTTGCGTGTCGGAAAGGGCCGCCCCATCAAGCCGTGTCGGGCATGGCGCTATCCACCCAGGACCTATGAGGGCTGCAGATGAGGCTTGGAGCTGACGAGTCCTCTACGGATTGACCGCACTGGAGAAAGTAAAGATAACCGGGGAGGAGGAGCATCAGTAAGGCAGCGCCAAATAAGAGGGAGAGATCGAATTCTCACCAGCAGCGGCTCGACCCGCTAGTCGGCTCCAACCGCCTGGCGGATCTGGCTTCTGGGCGCTTCGATCCGAAAAGCCCCCCATCCCACTACACCTTTTCCTCGCTACTGGCTCATGATCGCTCTCATGGCCTCAGAAGCGGTCCGAACTATATCCCTTGAGGGTCATGAAATCGTATCGTGTTGGGAGGCTAGCAAGAATATAATTTGAAGGCCTCCGATGTCGCCGCCGTGGTATAAACTCGGCATCCCTTTCTATGGGCTCTTGCATTATTTGCCTCCCATACTACGGTTCCATTCTTCTTTCCTTCTTGAACCGTTCCTCCTTCCTTCCTGAACCGTTCTTCCTTTCCCCCTAAACATCCCTTAAATCCCCTGCTAACCCCACTTTAATGGGTAGCGGGATACAGAATCTTTCTAGAAAAGATGGGCGAACTCCAGCACTATCCGGCCGATACACCCAACGTGCCCTTCGCACAACGCCCGATCATCATTCTGGGTGCGGGCATTATTGGCTGTGCTGCAGCGCGACAGCTTCTACAGGACGGCTTTCCAGTCATATTGGTCGCGGAGTATCTACCTGGTGATCAAGATTTCCGCTATGCTTCCGCATGGGCTGGGGCGGCATGGCATCCAGCGGGCGGAATTTGTTCGGAATGGCGATATCTTCAAGCCATCAGTCATCGCCACCTGCTGAAAATGGCACAAGAAGAACCCGAATCTGGAGTCAGCATTGTTGATGCCCTGGAGTATGTCGAACGACCCCCCGCTGAAAATTCGTCGGCATGGGGAAGGACTCTGGCTGCCAAGGTAAGACAGCTCGCATAAGCAGTAATAGACACAGTTCGGGGGTTGACACAAGACCTAGTGGCGTGACTTACAACCGGGTGAATATCCATCAGAATTCAGCTGTGGATGGTCGTACGAGACTCTCGTCACCGATCCCACCATCCACATGCCGTATCTGGGCAAGAAGATCACTGCTCTGGGCGGCCAGTTCATTCGCAAGCGGGTAGAGTCTCTTGAAGACCTCTATCACATGTTCCCCGAGTCAAGTATATTCATCAACGCTAGCGGAATCGGAAGTCAGACCCTCAAGGATGTCCAAGATGACCAGTGCTTCCCGGAACGGGGGCAGAACGTGTTCTACAAGACGGAAAACTGTCGCACAATGTACTTCCGGAACGGCCAAGAATACACCTACGTGATCCCTCGACCCATGTCACATGGTGTCATCTTGGGAGGCGTCAAACAAGCTGACAACCTGTAAGGCCTGATCACGAATACCTAAGCAGCTACACCTTTGGGGACACCGAATACTAATTCTATAACAGATCCTCCGAGCCAGACATGGAAATCGCCCGAGATGAGATCGCACGCGCACATCGTCTTGCGCCCGAAATTGTTCCCGAGAACCCACCCGAAGACACCCTCAGCTACATCGTCGGCATCCGGCCCTCGAGGAAAGGTGGCTTCCGCTTAGACTCAGAGCAGCACGAAAACCGGTACATCCTCTCAGCCTATGGATTCGGCGGAGGCGGCTATGCCTTCTCGTACGGAGTCGCCGATGCCTTGTGCAAGATGGTGGAAAAGGTGGAGCGAGAGAATGTGATCTGATCTGATCTTTGTGATCGAGGGTGCTGATATATTCATGGGAAGAATGCTGGCCATTCGGCCCTGTGGATGGGAAGTTGACGTTGACGTTGACGTTGACGTTGACGTTTAGTAGATTCATTAATTGGCATTGAGCAGTATCGTCGCAGCACCCTCAACACTATTATTAATACAATACATTAGAGTACTCACAACTTAAAGTGAAGGATTGTCGATACAAACAAAATGTTAGCCGCACCAGTAATCAGCCATCCATAGTATCAACAAACCCCATTTCCGCCTCAGGCAACAATACACACATACACCTCGTATCCGTATCGAAATAACAGATTCTGACAAAACACCCCTCCTTCAACGCTGACAAATGTACCGCCTTGCCAAGCAGATCAGTCAATCTGCATCTTCTGATTGGACAATGATTCTCCACGATCCAGGGAATCAGTAATTAAGCGTGTCAGCAGGGTGCATTAGCGTCTGTCTTGCGCCTTGGTTCTCCGGAGGGGGGAGCTCGTATAGGACTTGGTGGTGTAGAGTGAGTGTTTCAGGGTGCTAGTGATGATGTAAGTATGCGTTGTTGTTGTTGTTGTTGCTAGATTGAGTGCTTATTTTTATATTTATGCTTATGCCTATGCTTATTATATGTATGTGTGTGCATACTACGTATGTATCTATATACTATATGTTGTGCTACACTAATTGCTTTAGGGGAATACTAGACTAGTTTAAGATCATCACTACACTGATGCGTATGTACTGACTCACAGTTGGACAGTATTGAAAGGGAAGGGAAGATCATAACCCATTATATTCAATCTACTTACACTCATCACATCATCACTATCAACACTTTACACACATAGCCATGGCTGCACCCTACAAATACCTAATAATCATCTTCTCACCCCTCTTCTGCCTCCAGCGATTCGTACTCTTCAACAACTCAGGACACCCCCTCAACACCCACGGCCACTTTCTCAAAAACTGCTCCGTGACCTCCCAATTCGCCGGATCCGACGGCTCCCCCCACACCAACAAACTACACGTATCGGACGCATTATCCCAGAACCCCATAACATCATGACAAAGCTCATCATCATCGAACCGATCAATCATGAGACACAGATTATCCCGGAGGCGCGGTAACGGGAAGAA